TTATAGAAATCACTATTTTGTTCTGAATCATCATATCTTTCATCTTCTAACCCCATATCTTTTATTAATTCCTCCTCTTCCTCATAACTTTCTAATAATAACTTAATGTTGATATCCCGTTGCTCTTCTTCGCTAACAATTTCTTCATTTTGAAGAATATTATTATCTTTATTATTATTATTAATGATAGAATTTTTATTAATAATAGAATTTGCTTTTCTTTCTGCGGATGCTATAATTTTATCTTCCATGCTTGAACTACTAGTGGCAGACTTTTTATCATTTTTTAGTTTCTTTAACCTTGCAATTTCTCTAATGATAAATAGTTTGCTTTCTCTAATTTTTGGCCAATCCTTTTATCATAGAATGACTATATTCCCATTCAATATGCTTTAGCTTCTTTTCCCAATGAATTATTTCATCATCTAAATTAGCCTTTTCCATACATTTAGATATACCTTTTTTCTTATCATCATTAATTTCCGATTCTGACATAAATGATTCAGAGTCTTCTATTGATGCAACTTTATAGTTCATAAATCGAATACTGCTACTTCCTTCACAATTTTGATAGCTTATGTAGTTTTCAGGTTGCTTTAATTCTTTTTTCTCTATTAATTCTCCTATCTTCCATTCTTCTCCCGCTCTTTCTTCATAGCCAATTTTAAGAGGATTCATAAATTTAATACCTTTTGATTGCATACTATCGATTACGTCATTCATATTGACTCTATATCTGGAGCTACTTCTATTAGTGAGCCTTCCTATAAATTCTATGCTTACTAGCAAATTTGTTCCTTTAAAATCTTCATAACCTTTAATTTGGAAACCAAAACTCATTTTTTCAATAAATTCTTTTACGGGCATCATTAGGTCTAGAGCTATATAGGTTATTAATTTATTTTCATTCATGTCTCCTTCCAAAAATCCTAATGCTGCTTTGTCTACTGATTCCCATCTTTTGTCTAATAATGTTATTAAAACCTTTGCACCTAATTTCTTTCTTGTCATACCTTTGACTCCTATGATATACATACCTTGGTGAACATATTTGTAACCACAATATTTTAGTTCATTTTCAATATTTTTGCTTACAATTCTTAAATCTACTGGGTGTGTTAACACACTTAATTCTACTTCTCTGAATATTCTATATAGACCACTTTTACTTTCAAACATACCCATGTGGTATACTTGTTGCGATTTTATTTTTCTTAGAGTATCTTTCTAATACCTTTCTAGATCTCTTTGTATATCAATAACTTCTTCAATGCTATCAATATCATCAGCTTTGCATGATAATCTATGCTTCATGGCTAGAGGTCTTGAATCTTGCCTTACTAATTGGAGGATTTTGTCTCTTCTAAGGAAGCCTTTAGATACATCCATTTTTCTGAATTAATATTTCTAGCAGAGGCAACTATTCCGGATGATGAAAGCACAATTTCTTTGTTGCTTTGAACACTATTTAGTTTATCTAAAATCTGGATTAATAGCTGGAGGATGGTGTTATTTTGTCTTATTATAACTTTAGAATCTTCCTTTGGGGAGTCGTGATCGGAGAATCCGACAGGAGGTGACAGATATTTAGCTACTTCGTTTAATGCTTGAGTATATTCACTCATATAATTATGAGATAATCAAAGTTTTAACCTCTTGCACCAACTTTTTTATTTCAAGTATATCTTGTCTTGATCCAGTGCGTGGGAGTGCTTCTTTGCCTTTACTTAGGTAACGACCTATTAATAACACTTCCTCTTTAATATAATCGTTATTCTTGCAAACTGTATTCTGTCTTGCTTTGGCTTCTCTAGCTTATGTAAAGCTAGATCAATTTTATTATTCAACCCTTAATACTTATCTGTAAGTTTTTGGTATTCTTTGAATAAACTTTCAAATTTTTGGTCTGAATTATCTTGTCTTTTCCCCAAGATATGTAAAAGTTATATATCAAATCAAGGACTGTATTTAACTGGCTATGAGATGTATGCCAGATATGCTCTTCAGAGGGATTTATTCTACACCTCATATTTAAATTTTCCTTAGTATTTATTACTTTACCCCGCTAACTTCTAAGTTTAAATATTTTAGTCTTTCAATGGTTAAACACTGGACCTGATACCAACAATATAGGGAATAATGTTTTTACTAATATATTCTAATCAATATTAATTAAGATTTTGATTAGGTTAATATGTGATTAGGTGAAAGTGGTAGACATGACGTACTTTTTATCTTGAATAGTATTTACTATTCACTAGGTAGGGCACTATTTATGAAAGTGCTTTACTATTTAAATCACTATTTGGAATAGTATTTTCACTATTCACAGTAATATTTAATTCAATATGATTACCTTCACGTTCTAACTAGATTATTTATTTGATACATGATCTATTCTGGGCTGGCGAGGCCAACAGATCAACCGACGAATGTACGCAGTGGTGTAAAATCCTACTCAGTACTCACCATATTTATCATTATGTTGTATCAGATGTAGCTAGTTACGTTCACTTAGCAGTTTTAATTGCAAATTTATGGGGTAAGTTCCTATCGTCTTCCCAGGCAGTTCCACCCAAAGGGAACACTTCTCTACGGCCACAAGGTTCTCATTCAAACGCCACTCTGAGCTACACAGAGAACTACACACACAGAGGTTTCTCCTATAGGATCCCTAGCATAAGAACTCGTCCCATAAATTCATAAATAAAAGTACTAAGTGAAACCAAGAAACTACATCATTTCAACAACATAATTTACATATGGTTTTCCCTTTCGGGAGGCCCCGAAGGGATTACACACAACTAGGAAATTACCTTCAAACTCTTGATGGACTAAGCGCCTTTTGGCTATTCTACTAGCAGTGGTGGTGGCTAAACTACAAAGGAAGTGGTGCTCTGGTGGAGAGTCTCGATGCTCTGAGTGCTTCGTGCTCTCCCGTCTTGTGTTCTCTCCTTGAGCCCAGTGTCTCCTTTTATAGCCGCGAGGGGTGGCTGCAAGGGAGGCCTTCAGGAGCCTTCCTTCACTTATTTTACACACGGTAGTATGCAAACGTGTCCTATTAGGGTACGCGCGTGTCCTTCTAATAATATAGAAAAGTGCCAGAGAGAGTGCCGACAAGCTTCAATCTTCAGGAATCTTTGCTTTCTTCACGTGGCATTGTCTCTCGGTGAATACTTGGCTGGCCTTTGTGTACCAGTCTTTGCTCTTCGGCCATACAAATCTTCATGCGATTAGCCTTGAGAGCTTCTTCTGCCTTCAAGAATCCTTGTGCCAGTGTATGCGTACATACATGCCAAGGCTGCTTACATTTTCAACATTGCTTACTATTATTATTTATTTATTTATATAAAAATATATTATTATTATTATTAGTTTACAGGGGGTCTTCTCTGCTCATATGATTGATAATACCTTATCAATATTTAAAGAATCTATTATGGGAATTTCTATCAATATTCAGGTCGGGTAAAATTGATTTTTTTGAAAAATGAATCATGAACTATGGTTTTGTAAAAGTTCATCAAATTTGAAAAAAATGGTGGATCTATTTTTTTTTCATTGAGTAGAAAAAAGATTCAGGAATGAGAATAATTTAATTTTTTGAATAGTTTATGAATTTGAAAAAGTTCATAGATTTTAAGAAAAGTTTACAAATTTATGAAAAGTTTGATGATTTTGAAAAAATAATTCACGGATTTGAAAAAGGTTCACATATTCGAGGGAAAAGTTCATTAATTGAAAACCAAAAATTCACGAATTTAGGAAAATAGTTCCCGAATTTGCAAAAGAAAAATTCATGAAAAAAAATATATAAATGAAAAAGGGGAAAAAGAAAAAGAAAAAGAAAATAAAAAGAAAGAAAAGCAACCAAGAAAGGGCATAAAAATAAAAAAATAAGAAGCAAAAATCGGCCATTAAAAAACAGACGATATGACCGAGACTACCGCTACAATGTAAAATGTGCCGGTCCGTTTTAGCCGGGGAGTGTGCCGCATACAGAAAACACACTATTTTTTTTTGCGTTGGGAAAACACTCTATTTGGTGTTGAAGGCTCTAAATAGGATGCATGCGTCATATAGATGAGGAATAACATCAATGCTGGCCCACAATGGGGGCGCTCCGGTTGTCCCGCACCTTCTTCTCAAATGTGTATCGGTCGTAGGTTTCGCTATGATCCCCGATCACTAAGTGATTGTTGCGATCTACCACCGCTAGCTGTGTCGCGATGCCGCAAAATCCGTTGAAGCCCCCTAGAACCAACATGAACCGGCGAGCTTTGGGATCCAGAGGATGTGGCGGATCCATGGTCCGCCAACCACACCGCTCAGCTTCACCGGGACTGCCACGGTGTACCTCCTCTGAGACACCACACAACCGTCGTAGATCACCTATTACCGCCGTAATTATGTAACACGTCGCCTCCAGCCTCCCAAGACTCACAGCAACATAACGCACCCCTTCCAAGACACACGCCACCACTGCCACAACAGATAGCATTCTGGATCGTCCATATGCCTGGTCGCCATGTCGACCACACGGGCTTTGTTGGGCGGCGGGGCGCCGGAGACCAATGAGGACAATGCTTCCATTTTTTATCCAACATATACTTCCTTCGTACGGAAATATTTATCGAAGGAATGGATGTATCTAGATGTATTTTAGTTCTAGATACATCCATTTGTATTCATTTTTATGACAAGTATTTTTGGACGGAGGGAGTATTACATACTAGTGAATCTAATAAGAATCCTCCACTAGTTCTGCCATTATACAAATTGTCCAAATGGGTAAGATGCTAATTAGACTGAACAGTTCTATGGAAGACAATGCAGGTTGCCTAGGCTCACAAGTTCGCTCATACATTTGCACCAGCGGCCGTTCAATTTAGTCTTTCAGAAACAATAACATACACCATGAAGAATAGCGTCACGGCGCACACAGTTCCGGTTCCAACACAGCGTGCATATAGGCTCCATGCTCCATGGACAGAGATAGCTCACAGCCGTTTTCGCTCCTTTTGGCCTAGAAGCTCCTCTGCTTCTTTCACTAGAGAAGCAAGAGTTCTGCCAGGCTTCATCGCGCCACGATTCGAGCTATAGAAAATCATAGAGCCTTCGAGGCACGCCATCTTTTTGCAAGCAGTGGAAAGAGAGTCTATCAAGTCATGGAAGCTCACCAAGTGTTGTTTCAGGTAGTTGCCATTGTGTTTCATCATTAACACGACCATCCTGCTTGTATTCTTCATTATCCTCAGACAGCTTACCGTGGGGTCACTGTTTGCTTTCACCATTACATTGAGCTTTATGGCGAAGCTAGTGGGATAATCTCCAGGAGAAATTGTATTGACCAGTTGAGCCAAATCATGGTTTTGGCTGGTCAATTTATCGAATATTGCCGTAGCAAGAGATAGCAAAGCTGCATGCAATTTCCTTCCCACATGCTTGTCATCGTTGTGTGGACACGCTGAAGTGTTGTTATCACGGCCATCATCTTGTGGAGCATCACCGTCTTGGGCTTCTACGTCGCCCGTGCCTAGCAAAGGACCAACATCCTTTTCTGTTCCTTTTTCTGTTGGTGTTGTATTATTTTTCGACCCAAAAGAAAGTATTTTCGGGAGAACCTACCACGATAAACAAAAGTATGTTTAATCTGGCATATGAGAGACGAAAAATCAAAATAAAGCAAATAGTATATATTCTGATACTCATACCTTTCGCATCATGCCCTCCATGGCCTCCTTGAGTTTTTTCTTGTGATGGTCGTCATTTTCTTTGTAGTGAACATACAGATGCTCCAGGGTCTCAGCTGCATTGATTCGATGTGTGCTGTCGGCCTCAGCATCTAAAAGGATCTTGGTGAGATCTTGGACAACATTGTCATTTGCCTTTAGGATGATGGCAGCGTTGCTTTGGTTTAGACTTAGCATGACCAGGGCTTCGCCTGCCAATTTTCTGATGGAGCTGTCCTTACTGTCACAAGTGAAGATGTCTGGGAGTATCTTGACAAAATTTCCTCTGCTTTCTGTGTTTACAGCAGTCGGACATACATCCACGTCCATGGGCAGCTGCGTGAGGATCTTGATGGTCAGGACCTGGAGCTTTTCATCACATTCGTCGCATTTGAGAATCCCCTCCATGCTATTGATCGCTTCCTTGTTGCTAGAGATTTGGCTACGTAGCTTGGCACCGGTCTCTCCGGGAGCAGCCACGAGGCGGCACATGACCTGCAGTGACGCGGCCACGACAATGGACCAGGCATCATGGTCGATGAGGTGGAGCAGGTCGGAGCTTACAGGCGCCACGACCTTGGCGAGCAGGCCCTCGGCGTTGCCGAGGACTCTGCAGTTGTGCTCATCGGCGGCGAGCCCGTCGAGGATAACCAGGCCTTTCTCCATGAGCTTCTTGTAGTCGTAGTCAGCAGACGGCGCACACTCGTCGCCATCCTCAGCTTGCCCCTGAGATATCTCAAGCAGCGAGCCTATGCACTGGATCCCACGAGGGAATCGCTTCAGACGGATCTTGCCGGCGAGGTGCGCCACTATGTTTGCGGCGACCCCCCTCATCTTCTCGTCGTGTGGGCTTCTGGAATCCAGTGCCTGGAGCAGTTTCTCGAGTACATGGGTGGAGGACGCGGAGCCGACGAGCTCTGCTATCAGCGCGTGCTGCTCCTCCAGTGGCAGTGGGTGCTCCAAGAGGGCGTCCAAAATCCTTGCCCCAGAAAGGAAGCTTTTAGACGATTCAGATTTCATCATTCCCACGGCATACGTGACTAGGTTCCTTCCCTTGACGAATGATGGATCCTTCTCGCACCCGATCATGGTCTCCCGCAAGTACTTCTTCACCGATTTGTGCGCACGGCCGTTCATCTTGTACTTCTCCGCCACCTCGCTCGCTAGCCCTTCGCGCGCAAAAGACGAGAACAACCTGTTTTTTTTTTTGATAAAGGAAAACATATTAACATGATGAAGATAATATCATGTACGACTGGTGTCAACAAGAATTGAAATGCAAAGAGTTAGTCAAAAAAGGTTCTAGACCCAGAAAAAATAGACATATTCCTCAATTAACGCACAAGTACAACTCCAATCCAAACTTAAGAAACTACAACCAAAACTTAAGTTCCAATTGGTGATGTTTTATTCGAATTCGAAAATATATATATATATATATATATATATATATATATATATATATATAAACAAAGAAAGTAAGACATCGAGAAGCCAAATTATTAGGAGCAAGAAAAATACAAAATTAACCTGTAACAAAAGAGCGAACCCTGGAACAGAGCCAGCGAGTACAAGACATTCAGGGCCGGCTGCAGGTTCGCATATCCATCCTCCGCCTTGCGGCCATAATCACGTTGTATTAGACGCCACACCGAAATCCCAGTGGTGAAGAGCAGCCCACAAAGGTAGAGAACCGATAGAGGCAACAATATAACAGCGACCACCAGCAGGTGAACCAACCATACAATCAGTACTACCACTAGGCGTGGCACGGAGGGTCCATCGCCATTAGCATTTTTTCCATCACCGTTTGTGTTTTTCCAGATCAGCATGGCATATATAGCACTCTGGAGGCCGTAGCGTGATGTCCCAATATATCTCATTTTCTCTTTCAGAGAGACATCAAATACCCTGTGCATAGAAATACAAGTTCCAGTTAGACCAGTCAGTCCATGATAATATTATAAGTTGGTGTATGTTACCAGCCAGCAAAAATAAAAAAAATAAAGGGACCAAACCACAGAATACTCCGTGCTTGGGGTTATTAAGTACTCCCTCCGAAAAATTAATATAAGAGCGTTTAGATCACTATTTTAGTGTTCTAAATGATTTTATATTAGTTTACAGAGGGAGTGCAGTATTACAGTGCTATTACAACAAATTTCTTATTTGCCACCAACAAACTCCCAGTTTGCTGAATCGCCATCAAACAGACGCACTTTGCTTATATGCCACCGCATAAAACACAAGTTCATACCAATTTGCCAGACGAACCTAAAGGGTGTGAAAAAATTGTGTGTACAAAGACAGGTCAGCTCTCATGGCATATAAGCAAGTGACTTCTACATGTGACAGCATGAAGCATATTTATTTATTGAAAAAACTGGCAACACTTCCCATGTAATTTCAGCATGACAGTTCTCATGAATACCATTTCAGCAATGACAATTCAAAACTATAATTTCATCATGACATGTGCATCCATACATAATTAAACACAATTACACAGTATCAGTAGGAGGACCCAACCGCTAAATATAAGTAACAAAAGTCCAAATAATCTCATCATTCATAACTGAACGCTCCGGCAGTTCTTTCAGACAAACAACAAAAGTAAATACCGCACGCAAGCCAAGACCATTTGTTCCATGGCGTATCGACAATTGAGTTAGTTGTTGATGGCAAATAACTAATATATATTTATAGAACTCATATGAACTCTCTAACTTACTAGAATTTTCTAAAATCTGTATGAAATTTTAAAATATTTCCTTAAAATTCAGAACTTGATACAACTTCAGTATGAACAGAAGAAATTTCCAATTTGAAAATAATTGTATTTGAGTTCAAAGTAATGTTTTAGTCAACCTCAAAGTTCTTATAATGTAATCCTTTGTAATTCTAAACTCCCTTCCTTTCTCCAGCCTCCCACGGTGGATCGACAAAAGATAACTCATGTAAATATTTTGATATTAAAATGATACCAAGTACACCCGCCCTTTGCAGCAACACATGTCAAGAGGGAGTCAAGGTATACAACGTTATTAAAAAGACGAAAAAAAATTGTGATCAAGGGCACACAACATCAACCATCAACATCAATCAACACCTAGACTTGGAGAAGGTGTCCCTCTCCAAGAAGAAGAAGAAGAAGAATACAAATAACTGTGAGTTAAAAGTGACCGCTGCAGAAGGAAATACACATTTCGAGACTCCTGGATAAAAGCTCTTGGATATTGTGAGGCATTTTAAAAGGCCCTTTAATATCTAGTATGCTGTTGTGAACTTGTGATTCAACATATTTTTAGCAGAAAGGCAAAAACGCCGAGGCAAAGAAGCACTACCACAAGTTAAAAAAAAGTCACTGAATCACAATTATTCCCAGTCCATGTAATACTTTATCAACATTTTAAAACTACTTCCGTGTAACCATAGTTTCTGTCTGAAATGTGTGGAATAACCCAAATTGCGTCAGATGTCTCACGTTTCATTTGTCTAGTAAAAAGCTGATCGGAGTAAATTACATAGTGAGGAGACTTACCCGGCTGTTTGGACGAGGGTGATAATTGTGAGACACCAAAAGTCTTTGTTCTCCAGCACAGAGACGAAGCCACCCAGGAGAACGACGGTGGACCATGTAAGCACAAGGTATCCCATCCCCCTTATGGCCATCGAGAGGTACCCCATGAACAGGGCATAGCAGTTGATTGACCGTACTTCCTCCCAGTCGAGGTCATCTAGCTTCAGATCCATCCAAACCGCTTGCTAAAAACTATATCAGTTCTTGACGGGACTGGAAAAAAAATTCAATCAAAGGCATTGTTATTTAATTAGAACATGCAGCTACTTCCGTTAAGCAGCAAGCAAACCTAGGTGTTAGCTAATTACTCCCTCCATCCCGTAATATAAGAGCCTTTTTTGACACTGTCAGAAACATTCTTATATTATGAACGGAGGGAGTAGTTTGATTTGTGGGAACGAAGGAATAGTCTGACATAATTTTTTTCTGGCAGAATAGCAATGCGAAGCACGAACAGTCCAACAAACAGATCTTGTACCGAGTGTTCATTGTTGTGTGGACTGTGGTGTTTAAGGTTGAACACCACAACAAAATTTTCCTTTTTCTACAATGTGCGCCTAATCGCACTTTATTTGATAGATAGAAGCACTACATTTTTTTTGGTATGGGACGAGAAGGTAGATTCACTAGCCCCCCAGAAAAACAATTGAAGACATAATTTAAGGAAGAGATGGTCATGGACTCACCTCCTCGGCGCGAGAAGATGGGCGTGCTAGCTGCAGAAAGGCGGAGAAGAATGTCAGCTCTCTGGTCGGACCCTGGAGACGCATGGGCGAGGAGGAAGACGGCGTGCTAGAAACCTTGGCATGGCGGCCGTCTTCAAGCTTTGAGAGGAGGGGAGAGTGGGGTGGAGCAAGGGGAGTGACCCAACTGGCAGGTGGGTTCATTAAGTAAGACTAGATAGAGCATTGGGCATTGGCTCACGCCTGCGTGTGTACGACGAGGCATTGGTCCGGCCTTCTCGTCACTGGCCTGCAGACTGTCTGCAGTGCTCACCATTCATTGGTGTTCACACCCAACGGGCAAACACGACGCAAGCATAGGTCGTCACCCAAGACGCAAGCAAGCATAGGTCGTCGTCAACCAACTTCAATGGTGCCCTGGAATTAAATTCACACCACCGTACCGTCTAGCTGATCCATCGTCACTGTCGCCATGCCCAAATCAAAATATGAGGTTAGTCATAGTGGGTAGTAACATAGACTAGTAACGTATGCATGTTGTTAGTCGTTATTAGTCTATGTTACTGTCATTATAGTGGGTACTAGTATAAGTATAGTGTCAAGCAAGCCTTCATTTATTATGTTGTACACTCATTTTGCATTGGGGTGCGTTATGTTACGGTAACATATTATATTACCACAAACACCTCTCTCCTCATTAACTTCATGCCACATAAGCATATATGTTTTGGAGTGCGTTATGTTACTACCTAAGTTACTCCCACTATAACTAGTCTGAGAGAAATGCAAAAGAAAATTTCCAAGGCAAAAGACAAGCCAATCAATCCTCCCCACTCTCTTCCGTTCCTCCATGCCGCTCCCTCGGCCAAATCCAACAATCTTCAGCACAGCTGCATCTCCGGCTGTTGAATATCGTGATTAGTTAGGAAAGAAAGAATAGTATATAATTTGTTCTACCTTGTATTTACTCCAAATTGATCATGTATTTCTATAAATATGCCCACGAGGCTGAAGCAATACAATAACAATTTCACCGATCCTTCTTTATCTCTTCTAACATGGCATCAGCCTAACCGGTTCAAACCCTATCCGCCGCTTTCGCTCCGCGCCGCCCCTGGGGCGTTGGTCTCCATGATCGCCACGGAGGGCTGCATCGCCCGTACCTAGGGTTCGTCCGCTGATCGTGTTGACTGACTGCCCTAGAGAGTCTTTTTTCCGATCCTGTGATCCAGATTTTTCTCTCTCCCGCCGGTCGCGTTGATTGGCGTTTTTTTGGGTTTTCGATCTAAGATCGGTTTGGGTCGCCTGCCGCCGTCGCCGACCCCCGCGTCTCTACTCCGACACAGGCGCGATGACCAGCCTCTTCTCCGTCCCGGCGGCCACACGCGATGCGGTGGCCCGTCACGGCCGTTGTCCGCGCGTCTGCCCGCCAGTCGCTCTGCGTTGGCTAGCTGTCGTCACCCTGCGTCGGACGAGACTCCTCCACCACCACCGCGCCTCCGCCGCGTATGTACGACCACCTCCACATGGCGTTGCGTTGGCCGCTCAGGACTGGCCGCTGCTGCGTTGGCCGCTCGGGCTTCGCTGCTCGGACACCGGTGCTGTCGCGCTCATCCGCATGTCGTCGCCGGCTTCAGCTCGGACTCCACCAACACCCGCCTCCACCGAGCGACGTCCACAACCTCGCCCGCGATCAGATTCATCACCTGCCCTCCTGTGATCCGCTCCATCAGCGTCGTGCGATCAATCGGGTCCGTCGGTTGCGCGCGCCTCCGCAGGTCTCGTGAAGACTATTCCCGAGTTCAGCGCGCCCCTCCACCAATCGAGCCACGGGCTGCCGCTGCGTCGCCCCATCGGGCCGCAACGCCTCCGCCCTGTGGTTCTGCCCGCGGCTGCACCAACCCGAGCGTCGCCGCCGCGTCTTCCCTTCGGGCCATAGCACCATGACACGCGGTCCACGCCGTGGCCCCAAGGCCATCCCAGTGGTAACACCGACCCGGGCACTACCATTGTGTCGCCCCTTCTGGTCATATATAGCACTGCGATACGCGGTCAAAGCCACCGCCCCGAGGTCTTCCCCACCGTCGCCCCGACTGGCGCACTGTCGCTGCGTTGCCCTTTGGGTGGTAGTGCTGTGGCGCGTGTTTCACTGCATCGTTCCCGCGCGTCGACTTCTATGTGGTATGCGCCGTGCCTCCTCCCTAGGTGCGGGAACGCCACCATCCGCGCTCGTTCTTCGTCACGTTGTCGAGTGCTTCTGCACCCACTTCGATCACCGTCGCCGCCTCCTTAGGCCGGTGTCCCACTCTTCCTCGGCGCCGCTGCCACTCGTTCGCCCGAGTCGCGCCGTTTGTCCACCTTGATACGCCTCCAACATATCTATATATTTTATTATTTCATGCTATTATATGATCATTGTTGGATACTTTATGTGCTTTAATATGCAATTTTATATTAGTTTTGGGAACTAACCTATTAACCAGTGCCTAGTTCCAGTTGTTGTTTTTTGCTTGTTTTTTGGTTTCCAGAAAATGAGTACCAAACGGAGTCCAAACTCTACAAAACTTTTTGATGATCTTTTTGGACAAAGGAGACCCTAGAAGCTTCGGGAGGAGACCAGGCGGCAAATGAGGAGAAGGCAAGGCAATAGGACGGGCCCTCATGCCTTGTGGTCCCCACGTGGCTTCGTCTGACCTAATTCCACTTCTATAAATTCTCAAATATTGGGAAACCAATAGAGAGCCACCCGTAACACTTTTTCCGCCGCAGCAAGCTTCTATTCTTCCATGATCCCATCTTGAGGCCTATTTCGGTACTCTGCCGGAGGAGGAATCAATCACGGAAGACTGCTACATCATACTTGCTGCCTTCTGATGATGCGTGAGTAGTTCACAACAGACCTATGGGCCCATAGCTAGTATCTTGACGACTTCGTCTCTCTCTTTGATCTTAAATACAATCTTCTCCTCAATCTTCTTGGAGTTCTAGCCGATGGAATCTTCTTTTATGGTGTGTTTGTTGGGATCTTATGAATTGTGGGTTTATGATCGGATTATTCATTGAAAGTAACTGAGTCTTTTCTGAACTTTATTATGCATGATTGTTATAGCTTAGTATTTCTGTCTGACCTATTCGTTTGGTTTGGCCAACTAGATTGATTTATCTTCAGTGGGAGCGAGACAGTTATTTGTATTATTGCCATTAAGGATAAGACGATGAGATTTATTCATATTGCTTGAGTTTACTTTGTCTACATCATGTCATCATACCTCATGCATTACTCTGTTTGTTATGAACTTAATTCCTAGGGAGGCAAGCATAGAAGCGCTCTCGATGTGGAGTAATAGTAGTAGATGTAGGTAGCATTCGGTCTACTTCTCATGGACGTGATGCCTATATACATGATCATTGCCATGAATAACATCATAACTATGCGCTTTTCTATCAAGTGCCCAAAAGTAATTTGTTTACTCACCGTATGCTATCTATTCGAGAGAGAAGCCTCTAGAGAAAACTATGCCCCCCGGGACTACTTAATTATATTAATAAAACCAAAATTACCTTGCTGCAATTTATTTATTTTTCTTTTGTTTTGGAGTTTATCTATCTACCTATACAAGATTAGATCCATGCAAGTAAAGAGTTCAAGGGGATTGACAACCCTCTTGCTCACGTTGGGTGCAAGTATTTGCTTTTTTGTGTGCAGGTATTGTTCACGAGGATTTCCGTGGTTCTCCTTTTGGTTTGATAAACCTTGGTTCTCACTAAGGGAAATATTTAGTGTTACTATATTGCTTCACCTTTCCTCTTCGGGGAAAATCCCAACGCAACTCACGAGTATCAGAAAGAATTTCTAGCACCGCTGTCATGGGGACATCACCAAATCCTATCAACTACCTTCACTCAAATTATCATTTACTTGCTCTAATTTTTATTTGATTTTATTATTCTCATTACAAAAATATCAAAAACACAAAAATATTTTACTTTGCTAGTTTGCTTGCTTCACTGTCTCAAGAAAACACTAAGTTGTGTGACTTTTCAATCATTGTTTGCGGGACACACCTTTTTGAGAGGGACACACATTTATCATGATTTGTTAGAATACTCTATGTGTTCACTTATATCTTTTGAGCTAGGTAGTTGCTTTTGTGCTTCACTTATGAGTACTTGTTAGAGCACGCTGGTGGTTATATTTTATAGAAATTATTGCACTCTCATGCTTCACTTAAATCTTTTCGAGAGTATACTAATTAGCAATTGGTAATATGTACAGGTTATAAGACTACACTACTAGGGAAAACCTTATACACAGAATCTTAGCAGCAGTGCGATACAAAAAGAGGCGCTACAATTAGCAGTAGCGCGGGTCCAAAACAGTCGCTACTGATACACAGTTAGCAGTAGCGCATGCTGGCGGAACCGCAATGCTACAAAAACCGACCGACAGTACCCACCAACCTAATTTTAGCAGCAGCGCGGTGTCACGA